CACAAAGACTTGAAGCAGAGGGAAACTGTTAGCATAGCTTAGCACAAAGACTTGAAGCAGAGGGAAACCGTTAGCTTGGCTCCAAAGTAAAGAATCTTCAACCGTTTAAAGTCTGTAGGTCTGAACAATAACGATTTAAATGCTCAAAGATTTGTTTTAAATGAAATCCATGTTTTGTTCAGGACGAATCTGCTGTGGCTCCACACTTCTTTTGCCTTCATGTATCTGCTCCTGACCGTCTACAGCATGAGGAGACACACGTCCAAGATGCACTACAAGGAGGACGACCTGGTACGAGTCCTCAGGAAACTGAAGAGTCCAACACTCACAAAGGATCGCTCAGTTTTTAATCCCAGTTTTGTGTCTTGCAGGTGAAACGCACTTTATTCATTAACGGCATCTCTAAATACGCTGAGGAGAGTCAGATCAAACAGCACTTTGAGTAAGTTCATCTTCTTGTGGTAATGAGGAAACAGTACAGATATATAATTATAGATTATATGACGACAGCAGGTTACAGGACGTAATCTGGAGCCAAACCCCACTGACGTCAGGGAGGCAGGGTTTAACCTACACAGGTTAATAGAACGCAGCATTTGTTTAGGAGTCGCACACTCGGGGTTGAGCTCGTTCTCTCTGTTTGCAGACAGGCGTATGAGAACTGCACCGTGCTGGAGGCTCGGATCTGCTACAACGTGGCCAAACTGATGTCTCTGAATGCAGAGAGGTGAGGCAGATGGGGCCGGGCCCAGTGCATGCTGGGATACAATCAAACATCTGCTTCTTCACAGCGTCCTGTCTGAGTCTGATGTCATCCACTAACATTCAGTCTGTGCAGAACTTCATGGAGAATCTTAATGTTTTCAAGTTTCCATCAGTATCACATTGATCGTCTGTGCGTCACTGCTGCTTTAATAAGACACACTGTGTGTTTGTGTTTTACAGGAAGAAGACGGAGCGCAGTAAGAAGTTCTTCACCGACCTGATGGCGAAGGAACACGTTCCCACCATGATCAACCCCAAACCCTGTGGACACCTCTGCTGCTGCGCCATCACCGGCTGCGAGGAGGTGACGCTCCGCCCCGAGCTTCAGCTGCGTTAACGATAGAGCGGAAAACCAAACGCTTCAGCTTCAGATTCATCAGGAGAAAATGTATCAATGAATCTGGACAGATGTTGACATCTGTTTCTAAACTTTTAGTTTAATCATTTCTCCTGATGTGTTCAGATCTGCGGGAGAAACAAGTTTCAGCTCATATTCATGTTAGTTTTATTTTAAAGATTTATTTTTCATACCAACTTCCAGACAGTTTTTCATCCATCGTACAACGACTTCACACTTTCTAACAGTTCTGTTTTGTTTTGAGGAAATTTGGACTGTAAATAAAGATGGAAGACACATTTCCACTTCCTCCCATTGCACAAAGGTGAAGCTAGAATATCTCAGATGCTAAAGCTGCCATCTTGTGGAGATGACATCATTTGCAGTCAGTCTGTGCAGAAGGAGGTTTATGATCAATACTGCCGTCAGCCACCAGGGAGAGATGGAGACACTTGGCTTCACTTCGCTGTCATGTCGTCCATCTTTAGTTAAAGTCCATGATTCAGACTGAAACATCAGCTGTTGACTGAAAGGAATTAAAACACATTTTCTTGAATGTAACATGAAGGTCTGACCATCCTCTGACTGCTCATCTGGCACCAGCAGGTCGAGGGTTTGACCATCGTTCACATAGAGGAACATGCAGAAGCCTCAGCTCAACGTTAGCATTTGTGCTAACATGCTGAACCGAATGTGTTTCCTGCAGGAGGAGGCGGTGAGCTTCTACACGAAGAGAGAGTCCAAACTGAAGGAGGAGTACAGGAAGGAGAAGGAGAAGGTCCACACCAAACCGCTGGGCATGGCCTTCGTCACCTTCCAGAACGAGTCCATGACCGCCATGTGAGCCGCGCCCCCATGTTAACCCTCACTTAGTTCACTCATTAGTTTACCTTTACATCCTTTGTTTGCATTAAATTATATTAATATTGTTGTACCCCGCCCCTTTCTGTGACCCCACCTCCTCTCCGCAGTATTTTGAAAGATTTTAACGCCTGTCAAGTTCAGGGTTGTCGGTGTCGACAGGAGCCACGTTCCTCTCAGTTCAGTGACGCTCTTCATGTTCACAACTGGAGCGTTTCATACGCACCTGACCCGCAGAACGTCCGCTGGTAAGTCCACGAGCTCCACCCACCTCACACCCCACCAAACAAACGAACCCCTTCAGATCAGCTGATGCTGTGTGCTGGTTTGCTCCTGCAGGGAGCATCTGTCGCTGGGTGGCATCTCCTGGTGGATCCGCTGCTTCATCATCAACTGCATCCTCTTCCTCCTGCTCTTCTTCCTCACCACACCTGCCATCATCATCTCCACAATGGACAAGTTCAACGTCACCAAGCCCGTCGAGTATCTAAACGTAAGAACCCACAAGCAGCTGTGTTACAGTCTGAGCAGGTTGCTGACTCAGAGGCTCCACCCACACTGATATGTTTAAATTTTAATTGTAAAGCACCTCCGTCCTCGCTCACTCACCTGAAAACACGTCACATGACCGGTCACCTCCACTGGTCATGTGATGTAAACAGGAAGTAGAGTGTCTCCTCTGCAGTTGGTTGCTTAGTAACAGAAACTCCTTTGAAGGAGGAGCAGTGATGGTGAAAAGAGCGGGGACTTCTTTTCTCTGGAACTGTTCCTGACAGGAAGTGTTAGCGACGCTTTGTGTTCACCGCTGGTAGTCGAGTCATGTGACTGATGAGAACCAATCAGAAGAGAACGTCTGATCATCGTTTACTATCATTAGTTGTTTACATATAAACAGTTCTCTACTACAAAACCCAAACTTCCCATTGTATGTGATCGAACACTTTCTCTGCGTTCAGAGAGACCACCGTACCTTGCAGATTACTTAGCTGACACACTTGAATAATGTCAAGTAACTTTCTCTCATTATTTCACAAATAACTTCCAGCAACGAACCCTCTGGTCATAACTGATAATAGATTGTAAATCTCAGTCTCTGTTCGTCCAGACTAAAATAAAACCCCGGAGTTCACGACCAGCAGCGTCTACACAAGTCTCAGGAATCAGAGGCTGTAAATACTCTGCTAGGCGTAACCATAGCAACAGTGATGAGTTTAGAAACTAAAACTTGTCTGTGTGGGCGGAGCCTGACTCTGGCTCTCTCTCTACAGAATCCCATCGTCACTCAGTTCTTCCCGACTCTGCTTCTCTGGGCGTTCTCTGCTCTGCTGCCGACCATCGTCTATTACTCTGCCTTCTTCGAGGCTCACTGGACCAGGTAACTTCTTCATCATCTTCATCGGTGTCAGGACGAGAACATTACCACTGCGATGTTAGCTAGCACAGGCTCAGGTCAGGAGTCAAGACGAGTTCGAGTCACATCTGCCTTAGATCAGATCTCAGACTTTGATTGAGACTTTGATTTGACCTCTCATATGTTCGCAGGTCTGGTGAAAACAGGACAACGATGCACAAATGTTACACCTTCCTGATCTTCATGGTGCTGCTGCTTCCGTCTCTTGGACTCAGCAGGTGATAAAAACGTTCAGACTGTAAGAATCTGATGTGAACTTTGACCTCTGATGTCCTCACTAAATTCTATCTGTCTTTTTCAGTCTGGATGTTTTCTTCCGTTGGCTCTTCGATAGAAAGTTTCTGGCTGATGCTAAAGTCAGATTTGAGTGAGTCCAGAACATTTATACATTAAATCATATACATTTGTGTGCATATGATTTATAACAGAAAATGATTTTACTCATTTATGATGAAATGTTAAAATGTAGAAATTTGAAAGTACATTTTAAATTCAGTATCATCATCACCAGATAAGCAAAACATTTTTTTTTAACCCACAAATCTGAACATAAAACTCATCTTTTTTTCTAGAACTTTTTAAATCATCATCAAAATAATTATCAGTTATTGATCAGTCAACTTGTTCCTCCAGGTGCGTCTTCCTGCCTGATAACGGAGCTTTCTTCGTCAATTATGTCATCGCCTCTGCGTTCATTGGAAACGCCATGGACCTGTTGAGGATCCCGGGTCTGCTCATGTACATGATTCGGCTGTGCCTGGCTCGCTCCGCCGCCGACCGCCGCAACGTCAAGAGGGTGAAGATCAGTTTGTAGTAACACAATGAAAAAAAACGTCTTTTTATTAACGTGCTGTGATTGTATACTGATATAGTCACGACCTGTCGTCCCTCCAGCACCAGGCCTATGAGTTCCAGTTTGGAGCAGCATACGCCTGGATGATGAACGTCTTCACGGTGGTGATGGCCTACAGCATCACCTGCCCCATCATCGTCCCCTTTGGTCAGAGTCAACACGACACAGCATCACACAGTCTACAGCAGTATATGTATCACAGTGTCAGTACTACAATACTGTCGAAGTACTGAAGTACTGATACGAGTAACTAGAACAATAAAACTTCATTCACATCATATCAGAATCTAAAACTTGATGTTTCCTCTCTGAGTTAGTTTTAGTTTCCGTGGTAAATCAGGGACTAAAGAAGTTTGACAGACTCCTGTCGTCACCTACGTGGGTGGAGTCTACCTATGCTTGACTCTGATTGGTTTGTAGACAGAGTCTGATGTTGGTGTGTTGTGAAGTGCTTTGTGTGGTTTCCACAGCATCAGCACCTTCAGGTGCAGTACTCCACAGTACTACAGTACTCACTAGTTCAAATACACAAAACGAACGTCCTGGTGGTTCAAACATTTTATCATCGAAGGTGAAGACTGCAGCTGCTTCCTCTTCTTCTTCTATGGTTTAATGTGTCTCTACTTCCTGTGATTGGTCCAACAAAGAGTTTTCACTGTGAACCAACAGAACCTGGTTCAGTTTGATCCAGACCCAGAACTCCTCTTCTGGTCTGAGGAACCTTTCACACCTGATGTTCAGCTTCAGACTGAACTGACGAGTCTGAAGGTTTGAAC